GGTTCAAACCACTGACCTTGTGGTTTCAAGTTCAGTGCTTATCCTACAGAGATACTGCACTCGCATGCATATCGATATCTCTCTATATATCTATCTAATATTTTTTCTCTCCTGGACAGGTTTTAAATCATGCATTTCTTCTAACCAAATGACCTTCAAGTAAACTTTATGGTGTTGATGCTGGTAAGTGCAGTTGAGTCACTTCTGACTCATAGTGAATATGTGTAGGGTTTCCAAGGAGCAGCTTGTGGACCTGAATCACTGACCTTGTGGTTAGCAGTCCAGTGCTTAGCCTACAGTGCTACAACAGAACAACAATAAAGTCTGCTGTAAACTTCACAGCAAACTTTATTCTATTACTAATAGTTTAGCTATTTTCTCTAAATGTTCTTTAGTATTAGGTACAAGATTAAACAAATACAATAATTTCAGAAATTACAAAAAGTATGTTGTTGGTGGTGCTTAAGTGCCATCGAGTTGCTTCCAATTCAAAGCAACCCTAGGGTTGCCAAGGAGCAGCTGGTGGATTTGAAGTGCTGACCTTGGAAATGATAGTCCAGTGCTTACCTTACAGCACCACACCAGGACTCCAAATAAACTGCAGAGTAGACTTGACTTTATTACTATTCATTTAGATTTCTTCTCTAAGAGATATTCTCTGTTGCTGATGTTAAGTGCCATCAAGTTGGTTTTGACTCATAGCGACCTTGTATGGTTTCTGAGGAGAGGCTGGTGAGTTTGAACCACTAACCTTGTGATTCAAATAGACCTTGAGATCGAGTGCTTATCCTACAGTTCCACTTTAGTTTTAATTTATTTCAGAAATTACAAAAAGCATGTTGTTAAGTTTTATCAAGTTGGTTCCAACTCACATCAACCCTTTAGCGGGTTTCCATGGAGCAACAGGTGGGTTTGAACCACTGATTGCGCTTATCCTACAGCACCACACCATGGGGATTAATATCTATCTTGCCAAGATCTATCAATTTAATCACCTGTAGAAACAATTTCATATGAAGAGAATATCATATTTTAAAATAATAGAAAATAGGAAATTTAAGTTATTAGGTAAAAAGGAATAAAGTACAAATAGGATATAGAAATCACTGATGTACTCTAAAAGAATAACAAATGTAAACTTAAATGTATTTATGTTCTCTAAAATGACATGACTCAAAATGCATGAACAGCTGGAGAGGGAGAATATTAGCAAAGTCCATTCCTCTCACTCACAACAGAAAGAGAAAAGTCAGTATTTTTTTCTCATATACAAACTCCAAAACCCATTTCTAAAATGAAGGCTGAGCATTTGCATCTGTTTGGTGATTTTTCACACAATGACAGCCTATAGTATTTCAAGATCAGAAGCCAGCAAAACTAAGAAGACTATGATATGAGAAAACTCACAGAGATAGTGAGTCCCTAAGAAATTACAGAAATGTAGCAGCAAGTAAGCCTTGAATGGCAATGACTGACAAAAAGCAGAAAATTGTACTCTCAGATAAAATGAAGCCCAAGGCTATAATAAAGAGCTACTTTCCACTTTCCAGAAGTCTGACTACATCTGAGAAACACACTTAGCTGATCTTTGTAGATGGATGAAAAACAGAGATAGTCACTTTAGATGAATTTGATCTCTTTGTAGAACAAGATGTTTTCCAATATTTTAAATGTATAATTTATATCAAATATGAAATGAACTCTGTAATGTGCAAAGGGTCAATAAAATGAATCAAGTTTGTGGAACAAATCAAAGTATATTTAGTTTGACAAATGTGCGTAACCCACAAGAGGTATAACTAACTAGTCTGCCTGACTACAGTCATTTGGAAAAAGGCATTATGTCCAATATAAGAAAAAATAATGCCATGCAGAGTTCAGAAAAAGAGTTTAACCTACCAGCATTTCTGTAATTTTGAGTCAAGATACTTTACTCTGAAAGAATACTATATTTGCTCTCTGATATTTAAAGCATTTTTTCTACGTTTCTCTCTATATTCTGCCATTGTCATAAAAGATTAAATTTTAAATAAAACAAAACAGTGCCATCGAGTCAATATTGATTCATACAGACCCTTCATAGGGTTTCTAAGGCTATAAATCTTTGCAGGAGCAGAAAGCCTCATCCTTCTCTCATGGAGCGACTGGTAGGCTTGAAGTGATGACCATTCAGTTAGCTGTCCAGTACTTATCCTCCGACATAATGGTTCCTTACCAATACCCTAGTCATCCCCTAATCATAGCCCCTTTGTTTAATTAAAAAGGTACTTACTGTATATTTTCCACATGCAATAATTGGATGGATACTAGACAAACAAATATCTATAGAACAGTGAGCCGTTTCTTAGCAATTTAAACTTTAATGAGGAAAACATGTAAATACATAAATGCTAAGTGATAGACATATTCACTATGATACATGTTTAAATATGCAAATTAGATGATTACTAAAGCATATATAGGATATGTAGCCACATGTTGTTAGTAGGTGCCTTCAA